TACTTGTGTCACCTTCAGTAGCCACAGATACGAACTTGCATACAGATGCCAAGCATCTCTAGCAAGCTGTAATTCCATTGATGTTGCTAGAGTAATGGATGCGATCCTTTATATCAGGGAATCCAACTTTAAGGACAAGAACTTTCCTTTACAGTGAGACAGGTGTGCCATGCAGTTCTCTTTGCACACAAGGATGATGCAGTTGCTCAAACGCCAGTGAAAACATAATTTACCTTATGGAATCTGCACACATGGTTATGCATGGGAATATCACTTGGCATAATAGTTCAGCAGTGAAACCTCTCTGTAGCCAGATTTTCTGACCCTAGTAGCTGCATTTAAATCTGTAGGTGGCTGAGAGCTCTGCTTTCCCTTTCCTACTATGCCCCAAGACTTGACTCCACAAGTTTACTTCCTCCTGTGCCCTCTCTTCTCCACCCAGGATCCCAGTGCTACTGCAGTTGCCCTTAGCATCACTTATGCTTTTGGGACACCACTGCAGTCCCTCTTCATCTGCTGGGCACCTCTCCTACCTCTGCCTTTTGGTTTTTTGCACCTCCTTTTTTGCCATGGCATTGTGGACCCATGGAACCTCTGAACCTAACCAGGGGGACAAAAACTTCATGTACAGCTGGGACTGTGCTCTGCCCACTGACAGTGCTGCACACTCTGGTCCTTGGGGTTGAGCTCTTAGCGGGCAGATGCAGCTCACTGACATGATCTCTGGAATACCTGGGATCTGCCCATCAGCCCTGGAAAGGGAAAAGGGAAAAGAGAGGGCCCAGTGCATAGTGGGTAGAGACAGGAACATGATGGGAAGAAACATGCCTCCTGGTGGACCCTGTGCTCGAAAGACCATGCTTCAGCTGCAGCTTGATGCTATAGCACCTTTAGTCTTTTTTTCTCAGCATCCCATGCAAGACACCACATCCCGAAGAAAGAGCATCTTCTAAAATTCCTGCAATAATCCCATTTTTATTGCTAGAAGAGTGCATTCTGTGCTGGTTGTCTTAAGGAACAAGAATGGTTTTAAGGACTGTATCTTTCTCTGTTTTTCCACTTCTGCTTGTTTGTGAATGATAACAATAACAGAAAATAAAATCCAACCCTGTCTCTTGTCACTTACAGAATCCTTACAATCTGTGATGCAGTGAAGGCCAGGATGGTACTGACTGCAAAGAGCGGCTGCTGATTCCAGATAGTTGGAAGCTTTAATGCTTCTTTACATTGCTCATTTCTTGTTGGGAGGAGTTATTAATAAAATACCTAGCTTAGTAGTATTACATTGAATTGCTAAGATACAGTCTCTGCACGTTGCTTGCTAGAAGGGCAAACATCTGCAAGTACCTGACACCTGAAGCTCAGTAGAAATCTCGCTGTGTATTAAAAGCAAATGTACTTTCCTTGAGGATTTCAAGATGTGTACGTTTTCCTGTGCTGTTGAATGTTTGTACTGAGTGGTCTTGGGGGAGCATGTGAGGAGGAAAGCTTGAAAACCGGTTTAAATTGCAAGACTAAAGAATTATTTTGTGCAGTCATCCCTCTGTACTTTTATTGCCCTGCAATATTTGACTTGCGCATTAGGTTTTCTGTGTTTGTACTTGTATTTTAGAATTGTACACAAAAGGCCCCTTTTATACCATGCTGTTACCTGTGCTTCCAGTACTGCTGTAATTTCCCTGTGCCTTCCTTTACTTGTTAATTTTTTTTTCTTTTTCTTTTGTTTGCAGATTTCTAATTAATATATTTATTGTACTTCTGTGTCTTCCATCCCTTTCTCTGTAGTGTGTATATTTTGTAAATAATCCAACTTTGTTACCTTCTTCTTTATTTGGCAGAGAGAATTAGGTGCTCAAAAAGCCAAAAATCCTCCTTACAGCATTGGAAATGTCCAGATCCTAGTTTTCCTTTCTCTGTTGCAGTTACTAGGATGCCTGTGACTCAAGGGGGTCCTTGCTGTAAGTTCGTTGGTGAATCTCTGAACATGGAAGTAAACAAAGGTCTGTTTCCCCTGACTAATGCTCAGTCCTGTTGGGTTGCTTCCAGGTAATTTACTGAGAATGTGCTGAGCTTTGTTCTTGCTCAGCTAAGTTTTGTTGACCGTGTTGTTAATTATGGGCTTAAACTTATGTTTCTCTTTCTAACAGCTTAAAACATTGGGAATTTTTCTCCCTCTATATCCATTTATTTAATTACCTCTTTTGAAGAGGCATTGCTTCATTAAACACTGTTTTGCATAGTCTCTAATGAGCTTACTTCTTTCACTCTAAACACACTCATACATTGAAGAAAAAGAGCTGCATTTGTTTTGGGTGGGATGAAGACGTTTCACATTAAGTTTTGGTGTATGGTGCATCTTTGACACGTGCTCTCTGGTGGTATAACTGTACTGTGGAGGATTCAGC